AATCGACAATTGATACTATCAAAACCAGAGATGTTGTACGTTATCTTTCACGATCGAGTATGAAATAGCGAGTATCAACGCCTAAATCCCAGGCTATGTTGGGTAGATAATGAACAGAAACTGTAAATTTTATATTATTTTCAAAGTGAAAGCGGCAATTCTATGCCAAACATTCATTGAACCATAACCAAATTCGAACTTGGCCTGGGCATTCCAAAAACATATCCATATGTCAATTTTGAGTTGAAAGTGTTGTACCGTTGCGGAGATAATGAACGGAAACTGAAATTTTCATATTGTTTTCAAAGTGAAAGGGGCATAACTCTGCCAAAAATTATTGAACCATGACCAAATTAGAACTTGACCTGCGCATTCATTTGATGTATCCATATGTAAAGTTTGAGTTGAATGTGTTGTACTGTTGGGGAGATAATGAACGGAAACTGAAAATTTCATATTGTTTTCAAAGGAAAAGGGGTATATCTCTGCCAAAAATCATCAAACCATGACCAAATTCGAACTTGACCTATACTTTCTCATGATACATCAATATGTCAAGTTTGAGTTGAATGTGTTATATCGTTGGGGAGATGATGAACGGAAACTGAAAATTTCATATTATTTTCAGTGTAAAAAAGGGGCATAACTCTGCCAAAAATCATCAAACCATGACCAAATTCGAACTTGAGTTGAATGTGTGCAACCGTTCTTAAAATTATGAACGGAAACTGATGATGACGGAATGACAGAATGACGGAACTTGACGGAATGACGGAACAGGGTAACACTTTATGTCCCGGCCATTACATGGTGGGGGCATAAAAAGCTAAATGCGCAACTTGTCAATAATAAAGTGAATAGGTCTGTAATGGAAGATGTGTTACAGAATGATTAATTATGTTGGTAGTATTTCGTATCAGACAATGCAGATTCTAGGAAATTTGCCCTCGGACAGTTGCCTTCTCGGACGTTTGCCCCCCCCCCCCCCTCTTTTTTTTGCTGTTGATACTTGTCACTCTCGTGTATAGATATTTTGTATGCCAATGGAAACATATAGTTCATTTATTTATGGATGCTATTTTGACTATCAAAAATTTGTGCGATATCTTTTGTGTATTTAAGCACAATAAAATTTCGGCAATAGGCTATAAATTTGGGTAGCATTTCTTAAAACAAGGAGGGGGCACATGCCCGTCCTTCCAAAGATATGAGGGGGCAAATGACCGCTATCGCAAAAAGGGAGCAAACATCCGAGAGGGCAACTGTCCGAAGGGTAATGTCCTGATACCCAAGAGACTACAAAAAAACTTACATATGTATATTGATGGCAAGTGTGAGATACATGAATCGAAACTATATTTTATATACTGCAGTAGCAGGTTATAAAGTGTCCTAGAATGAAATATGATCGGTCATCATAAAAATTTTTATACTAAGTCACTAATAACTTTATTAACATTTTAAAATCGTAAGTATGCTGTGATTACTGCTTCATAGTTTCATAGATATAAACTTGAAGCATCCATTTTGTTACATTGTGAACTTAATGACAGAAGAACCACTTAGATTACTATGACATTGAAAAATGACGCGATTAAACAGATAATTAAACGTGTCCTAACTTTGATATGCTATCCATTATTTTTATAGACGGATGTTGGAATAATTATGGCTAAGTGCATTCAATAAACATTATATTGTTTAAAAAAATGTATCCTGATTTTGTAAGACAGGAACATTATGACAATCCATTACATTTTATTTCAATTTTTAATTTTTGATTGCATTTCATGTTTTCTTTGTCTGCGCATTGACAGGTCTTTTTTTCCACGCGTATTTCATGACCAGGTCTGTCTGACTAGAACAGACCTGTGCACGTGCAAAAGATAAACCTCATAACGGACTTTCTTTTGTTTAAACAGGTCTATCTGAAAAATATAGACCTGTCACAAACAATAGAGGAGGTGTGTAATTGCCGTTATTTTTTAATTATTTGCCTATATTTTTCAATTATTGATAGAATGTCAATCTCCTGTGAATAAACTAAGTGTATCGTAATTATTGATAGGTACGCTTAAAAGGGTGATAGTGTTTCAGTTAAGTCATAATAAGGAGGCATTGTCTTCTTTGTCTTTGTAAAACAAGACTGTTCAAATTAGGAAGTATCTAATAGTTGGGTGATTGTTTGCCTCTAATTGGGTGAAAGCATTTCCTAATATGAGATTTATTAATCAGACTGTGGCATTAGGACATATCCGTTGAGAATTAAAAAATTAAATGCACTTGAGCAAATAATTAGATCAATATTGTTCTTCCTTTCTTACATAACTAAGCCCACAGGGGGAAGACGCTGTGATCTGACATTATCCCGGGCCCCCTCCCCCCGAAGACCCTGCTACAACCCATTAAAAATATCAATTCAAGTTGATTTGCACAATAAAAATTCATAAAAACAATATTCTGACACGTTTCGACGATTTTCATTATACCCCTATACTATAAGTTATAACAAGGGTACCGTCTTCTGTGCGCTTCCAGCGCTTTGATACTGCCCAAGTTCATATCTAACGTCGAAACTCAGCCAAAACTCAATATAATTTTAAAAACATGGTCTCGATCAACGCAGCATTGATAAATGTATGTAATAACAACAGTCAATTTTGGAAATTTTGGCAACTTATTTTGATACAACTCCCGAAATTGCCGGTGACTTGAAATCTGACAAGATCTGATTCACGTAAACATTGAAATGTTCATCAGAAACGCTAAGATGCGTAGAAAATATTATTGCATCTGTTAAAACAAAATATTCAATAAACATTACCACAAAAATACACTCCGAATATATTTCCTATCGTGGCGTAACGATCAAAGTCTATTCCGATATTCCCGTCTTTTGTCATGCCTCCATTACACAAACTTGATCTGGAAACGGTAATGCGCAACTCTGTATGGTTCTCGTCCTCGCTTATACGACGGCGTACGATTCGGTACCAGTACTTTGTAAACATAAACACGTGTAAATATAGCGCAAATTTCGAAAGTTTGTCTAGAACTGTTTTCGCACATTTTCTGTCGATATAGTACAGAAATCACAAAATGTCAATAGTTTCCTGGTAAACATATTAATATAACACTGTATTTGTACACTGGAGCTGCCAATATTTTAGACACGTGTTTATGTTTACAAAGTAAGTTTGACTGTTGTTATTACATACATTTATCAATGCTGCGTTGATCGAGACCATGTTTTTAAAATTATATTGAGTTTTGGCTGAGTTTCGACGCTAGATATGAACTTGGGCAGTATCAAAGCGCTGGAAGCGCACAGAAGACGGTACCCTTGTTATAACTTATAGTATAGGGGTATAATGAAAATCGTCGAAACGTGTCAGAATATTGTTTTTATGAATTTTTATTGTGCAAATCAACTTGAATTGATATTTTTAATGGGTTGTAGCAGGGCCTTCGGGGGGAGGGGGCCCGGGATAATGTCAGATCACAGCGTCTTCCCCCTGTGACTAAGCCACTGATGAGTTATGGTATTAAATTCGCGTTATAACACCTTTTTGGCGTTATACCGCCTTTTGATTAAGAAAAAATATATCTCAAACAGTGATTTTATCGCTCAATAACATCACTGTTTGGAGTTCGGATGCGAGGAATTATATCACGAGGGCGTAGCCCGAATGATATAATGATGCGCATCCGAACGGCAAACAGTGATGTTATCAAGCGATAAAATCACCGATTTGGATATATTATTTCGATTCTAACACACCATCAACAAATAAATGCTGCCGTACTTATTTTAAGCGCGTCGGATTCTTTTAGTGGTTACGTCACATGTATAATGATAACGTCACATATCTAAATATAGAACGTCAACTGTGACTCTGTTGCATAATAACACACACTTTCGGTTCTTCTATATTCAATAGTGAAAAATGCGGGTCGTGTTAGAATTCGCGTTATAACGCCTTTTGATGCGCGTTATAACGCCTTTGATTCTCGTTATAACGCTTTTATTTGTATAATCACGCCTTTTGATTCGCGTAAATATGCTTTTCATTCGCGTTACTACGCCTTTTTTGCGTTACTACGCCTTTGTTTCGCGTCACTACGCCTTTTTCGGGTTATTACGCCTTTTGTTTTGGGTTATAACGCCTTCTTAATATTATATTTTATTTAATTGGATATTATTAGATTGTCGTGCATACAAGAATATGTATATCGTTACAAACAGAAGACCGGAAATAGAAAATTGTATGACCGTAGAATTATAATTTAATTAAAGTTTTAGAAAAAAAGAAGATAAAATAATACATGTATTAAAATGTTAAAAGAATAGGAGTACTTTTAATTTTCTCAGTAGGGTCGGCTTATTTTTCGCATGAATACATGATATCAAGATGAATAATAATCGTTACAAACCATGAAATCCTTCTATGCAAATGCAAGCAAAGCTACCAACATTATCAACACACGTGGCATTATTCTTGCATGTGTGATTCTGACAATCATCAATATCAACGTCGCAGTATTGTCCCGTCCATCCACTTTGACATGAACAAGAATAAGTTGTTTCCAGAGCAACACATGCTGAATTCTGACAAAGGTTATCTTCACAAAAATCAACTTCCTCCGTGCAATCCAGTCCTGTCCATTGCACGGGGCACGTGCAATTGAAACCGCCGTTATAATTATTACAGGTGCCGTTGTTTTTGCACGGGGATTCAGAACACTCGTTTATATCTTGTTCACATCGAGACCCTATAACAAATATTTAAGATACATGTGACAAAACTAGTAAAATGTCTGTTTGGCATACTAAACCCAAAAATTAAATATGATCATCATTTTGGTCAAAACCATTCATACCAAAATGACTAATACATGTATTAAAATGTTTAATGAAAATGAGTACATTTAATTTTACAAATAAGGCTGGCTTTTTTCATGAACACATTATATGAAGATGAATTATAATCGTTACAAACCATGGAATCCTTCTATGCACATGCAAGTAAAGCTACCAGCATTATCAACACACGTGGCATTATTGTTGCACGGGTTATTCTGACATTCATCAATATCAACGTCGCAGTATTGTCCTGTCCAACCACTGTTACATGAACAAGAATAAGTTGTTTCCAGAGCAACACATGCTGAATTTTGACAAAGATTTTTTTCACAAAAATCAACTTCTTCAGTGCAATGTAGTCCTGTCCATTGCACTGGGCACGTGCAACTGATACTGCTAGTGAAATTAGTACATATGCCATTGTTTTTGCAGGGGGAAACTGAACATGCCTGTAAATCTTGTCCGCATCGGGACCCTATAATAAAAAATTAAGATGTAAGTCAAACACGATAATAGAACTCACCAACTAAGCGTTGTCTTACTTTTCATAAGTACATACAGCGGCGATGTAAATGTATGGTTAACTATACACTGTTGAAGCAAGTCAGATATATTCAAATTCAGGCATTCTTATTGGACAAAACGTAGGGAAAACAAATATAATTTAAGACTTAAAGAAATATGAACATAAACAAGAGTATCCTAGTGGTGAAATGAATTCGAACCTTCATTTTCGCACATTTTCTGCCGAGTTTCCGCGAACCAGTTACCCGAGAGCTAGATATTTTGTTCTGTGACGATAGCCGGTGTATTTCTTAACTTGCATATAACATTTTAATTATCTTTCGGAAATTATCAAAACTAATATGTTCGTTTGGCACTTTTCACTTACAGTAGCATTAAAATGACGTCATTCTTACAACGCAATTCATTCATAAATGACGTCAGTTAAAGCAAGAATTGTCTTACATTGGAATGTTAAACAGTTTTTCTGGTTTTTCTAGCAACGCGAACAGAGTAGATAATTCTGTGTGTTATACAAGAATATCCCGAAAGGAACGTTAATGGTGCCAAATAAATAGCTCTCGGGAAACTGTTTTTAAAAAGGCCTAACAATTATATGATTCACTTTTTCAGGACAAAATTACATAAAACAATATAGAATTCTTTACTAACAAAAAGGCCGCTTTAATATAGATATATAATACAATCTTTTTGATCAAATTCAGTTTAAAATATATTTGTATCAAAATTGTAAACGGCAAAGTGACATCAAAAATCAAACATCTTACATCAAATTCCACTCATTGAAATTGTACACTACGGTACCAGAAAGTTACCTGTGTATCGTTCTGGACATCTACACGTGTATGACATGTGCCCATCAATACAAGTACCACCATTCCGACATCCGTTATCTATACAGTCATCAACACTGCTGTCACAATCTTGACCGGTCCAACCTTCAGAAAAAAGTACAGTTGTAATTTCGTTAAACATGTTAAGTACAACAAGAAAAGCATTGATGCAAAGCATCAAAGGGCGTCCAAGCAAGGGATACAGCAAGTGAAGATGAACTAGAAGACATCTGATGGCCAGATATTCTTATAAACTTTTCAATGGTTAATTGGTTTTGACCAGTATTGTATATCATTTATGAATTCGAATGGGCGAACGAAAGACATTGTTCATCATGAACTTTGGTAGGCATGCTAGAGATTTGAATATTATTTTTTTCCACAGGAACTTTAATTCTATCAATATTAACGATAATATCCAAAAAATACAGGTCTGTAATATCCAAAATATACCCCTATATGGTATAAGTTTATTTATACTATATAGGGGGTATTTTTGGATATTATCATTAATAATGGTTATTTGATAGAATTTCAAGTTCATGTGGTATTTTCTTTGGAACATACAAAATAATAGTCGAAATGAACAAGGCTGTTAATTGATTTATTTGGGAGGTCAATCTACTGTTTTAATGAATTACTTCAATCAAAGCACTGAATGTACTGAAGGGGAGGCTATGACAGAATATTTCAGACTTATAGTTTCTTTTCTTTTTGCTTAGAATGTGCTGTTATTTCAATTATTACCAAAAATAAGAAGATATGCACATTGCGCCATTTATCCTTACTGTTGTGTTCAAACATTCATATATATGGTTAATATGGTTGACTATTCATTTTGTTAATATTCCAGAACATTTCATTGAGGTCTACATTCGGCCTGTTAATCATGCAAATTTTGAAAAACCTAAACTGCCATTTATAAATGACATACCAGCAAGTATGACGACTGTTCATTATAAGATCATAATACCATTTTACAACTGACGGTTCCTTATCAAAATACTCTAGGACTGTTCATCATAAATACTTTATGTCATTTTAATATCATTGAATGATAATAACAACTGCAAGTTATGCAACATTTTTATTGAACATAAAAATTATACATATTTACATGTACCATAATTGAGATCAATAAGATACTGTCTTGTGATGAGTATTAATATTCATGCGCTACGGACAGAAATTAAGTTGTCTTCTCCCGAAGCAAATCTCGAATAAAATCACGTTTCAGAAAATTATTCCCATTTCATTACTCGCCGCTGACTTTGACGGCTTCGGATAATATTAAAGCTAAATATTTCTTGAAAAAATACATATCTGCAAAGCTTATACAAAATTCAATCAACCTAAGTGAAAATTGATCAGGAAGTTATATCTTCTTTTTTTACCGCCAACACTCAACCAACTTATGGTAGTTAATCGATAGATTCTACATGTATTTTTAAACCTCACTAGCTTGAAATATATACTGCGGAAAATCTGTTGTTAACAGGGTGTGCGGTTATTACGTAGGGTTTTCCCTGTCAACTAGATGAGAACAAATTATGATTCGTTGCCCTAGAATTGAATAAACTTTCTAATTACACAATTCGGGGTCATTCATTTGATTGAAGACTAATCTTTGCGTCTTTCTCTGAAATAATTATTTCCTTGTTAAAACATATTTGACCACATATTTCTGTCATTTAACTGTTCACTTTACTTCCGATTTTTGTTGTACGGAAACACATGTTTCTATTTGTGTTTTCTAATCAATTCGAATCTATAATCAGTTTAATGGGATCACCACCGGGTAAACGACTACTAGGTACTTTGGTCATGTTTTTTACCCCAAATATTTGAATGTTTCTATTGGGATTAAAATGAGCATAGTTAACTAAACAACTGGTTGTATAAATCCCTGACCTGTCTAATTCTAATTATGAGATTAGTGGATATATTAAGACTTTCACTACAAAATATTCCTAAACAAAAGAGCACATGTTTAAATATATTCCTATACAAATAAAAGATCAGAATAGGGATCTGTCAATTGCCAGACGTATTTTTAAAAGATACTTTTATGTTAAAAGTTTGATAAATGAATTATGTAAGATGAAAATATATGTATTGTTTTTTTATTTTGCTAATGTAAAATGTAATCCTTACGGGTTTTGTAGTTAAATAGTTTTTTTTCGTCGATACATGGTTTTAGAATATAATGTTTTCAAACTATACGTTCATCACCATCAGTGAATTTTTAGTTAAATGTATGCAAATACTTTTAATTTACTAACAGCTATATGATATAGCGGTTTATCTGCGTACAGCCTCATAGGGTATACTAATAAAATAGTTTTCCTTAGTTATCACGCAAGCATGATCCATGTCTCTGATGTAAGCGACAGTTTACCATTATTTGTCTTTAAAAAATGTTAAGGACTATTAATGGTTTATAACAACAAAAGAACATGCATGATATTGAGACTACGGTGTTGCAACGTTCTAGTTAATGACCCGTCATAAACAGTTGGTCGCTGCGTAGTAATTAAAAAATGTTATCAAAAATAATAAATAATATTTGCCACCTAATAAAAGCACTTACTTATAAATTTTCATTTATGCTTTTTGTAAAAAAAATATTGATAAAGTTATTATGTAGAAGGGTTTTCATACTAGAACTATTTATGACCAACGTATGACTAAACCTGATTACCGCCGCAGTATGATGTCACGGAGTAGTAATTTTAAAAAAATAAACCAACAAATATCAATAATTTTTCAGAGAATTATTATCTTTACAAATTGCAGATATGAAGTTAAAGAATGAAAATATTTTCATATTGTAAATGTCTGTGATGACTGATGAGTCAGCTTAAAAGATCAAGGTACTATTTTTTGACCTGATTACCGCGGCAGTAAGATTTGACGAATGGTATTAACATTGGGGAGGCATGGCCTCCCCAAAAACCTCGTCTGACCAATCAGTGTGTTTACATTCCTATCAATAAACCCATAAAAAATCATGTCAAAATTGCAGACGAAAAATGATAATCCTATGATATAACAATTTGTGAAAAAAAAACCTACTTAAAGAGTGCAATTAATTGTTTGAACATTTCCTGCAAAATTCTCCAATTCGTGATTTAATACAATTGTGCGAAACGAATGACCGTTTCGGTAAACTTAGACTTCTTCTATAAATAGATTTTCGGAATTTTTATTCTATTCATAGGTAAAGCAATAACACACATAATAACCCGCTGTGTACTACAAAATGATTAATAAAAATACCGAATAGCTCGATTAATTGACGGATAAGATAATATCATTTGAATATGTTTACATTGCGAAATTATCCAGTTCGTTGTTCATTGTACATATCGCGACATTTAATTTTTGATAATCAAACATCCTCATACCAATCGGAATGTTCGGCTATTATGGCCGACGAAAAAGCCCGAAAAGTTGCAATTGCCCTTCCTCATTCCATATGGGGCGTCGTGCTTCGGCGCGGACGCCAATAACCATAACTGGTTTATACAAGTTTGCTTCTTTAAAAAGAAGCTTGCGAGAGGTCTTTTTGCAGCTGTTGAAGATTTGTTTATTTCGAAAATATTTGGAGATATAAAAGGCACCAGAGATTTTCCAAAACGGGCATAAAGTATGTTAATCAAACAATTTTAAGTCCCAGATTTACATTAAAAATGTATAATATTATATCATTTGATTGGAATAAACAATATATACTGCTGCATGCCTCCAACCACAATTATGGCAAGCAAATCAAACTTGAGAAAAAGTCGTACCATTTTCGCTATTTGCGCCAAAAAATCTCCGTTTCGTAATTTAGTCATACCAGCTCAAAAGTGAAAGGAGCAGCAAATAATAGTGCATGGTGATATTGTTGCTATAATGTTCACTATATCTATTTTTGGAACATTGAATTGTTAAATGCTATTCAGAAAACAATTCTTGATTTATACAGTTTAAAGGATTAAAAACGGAATGAACCATTGCTCGTAGTGTTAAGTAATGTTTCTCATTTTTTCTTGCACCGATTTGTGCACTTCGATGTTTATTTTTCGTTTAAGTTAAGTCGTATTTTGAGGCGGAGCATGCGCATTACAATTTTTGTTGACTGATTCTAATGATTTAAGGCTTAAAATGCGATGCATTAGCTTCAATTTGATGCACAAAAATTGATGCCGCCAGCAATCATTCTCAACACTGTGGAGAGGTCTGATGACCTCTCCAATAAGTCCTTAGCAATGACATGAATTTTGGCTCACAATTTACACATCAATTCTTGCACAATGGAAAAATGCAACAAAAGGCGGTATCTTTACAATTACATGAAATTATTCAGTCAATCTGACAAACTTCATCTTCCCTTAAATCTTAATGGATCTTTTTTTCTGAATGTTTCCTATTCCCCTATACACATATTAAACTAAATACGAATATCAGCATAAAGAGAATGTTTGTATAACATGTATCGAGTAAGGCAAGCTTTAATATCCCTCTGTCCAGTCACCATGCAGTTGTCATGTATCACAAATTAAACTTGATATTGAAGTCCCTTAAATAACGGTTAGTACGAACATCACAGCAGGTCATATGTGTAACAAACAGTTTATGGGTTACATGTACGTGCATGGTGTCTTTAATTTGGTCTTTAGATACTTATTATTACCGTTTGAAATGTATACAACGACTAACATAATTATGATACATTAATATATTTAAGATACATTCAAGTTAAAAAGTTTGAAATATCACATACTCGTGCCGCTTTTGCGACTTCGTAAAATAGTATTGCACGACTATGCTAAATGTTAGGGTTATAGTGGGCGGGAATTGGTAAAATATTGCAAATGGTGATAAAATCCGCCGTTTTTAAAATGGCCGCCATATAAATATGACATACATTCTGTAGTTCATTCAGTCAAATTTTTTCTTTCCAACGAAAATCAACAATTTGTTAAATTTCCACGTATAACGGTATTTTGATACTTCTTTAAATGCCTATGTAAAAAATTTAATCTGGCATTGGGTGCAAGATGATTATGAACAAACCGCGTTAAAATGACGTCATTTCGGTACATTTAAGAATTAAACTGCGTGCCTGGGATGACTACATATGGCCGTTATGATTGAAATTATTATTCATAATATGCTAAATTGTAAGAAGATTAAATGATGACATTAATTGACATGAACAATTGTTTAATTGAAGCATTAAAGCATTTAAAATATGATAGAATAGGGTAGAATAGGCAAAATAAAAATCTGACACATATGACAGTCCATATGGGAATATCCGTCAGTCGGATTACCGCCAATGGGCGGAAATCGAGAAGCCGTGTTACCGCCAAATGGGTGAATACCCTCAGGACAGACATGCCGATCCGAACCACAACATATTATAAATTACCAGTTCTTATAGATTCAATTACAGTTCCATGACTATATAAAGTGACTGAAGAAGTCTCCTCTCTTAACCTTTTCCCTCATATAAGCGTGTTTCGACGGCTTTTTGACCCCCCCCCTTTTGAGGCCCTAAACAGTGAAAAAATGCCCTATTTAGGCCCCAAACACTGGTTTTCGTTTGAGAAATGTTGTTAAAAAAGTGACCACTTTTTCGGCGCCGTCCCCCATGCAAATGTTACATCAGGGGGTTGCCAGAAGGGGGATGTGCCCCCTTATGTTTGGGGGGTTTGAAAGGGGGCGGAGTCCCCCTGATCGCCAAGAAAATTTTGGACATGTGACAGGCTAAAATGGCCTCAGGTCGATCTTAGGGTAACTAGTAACCGACGCTGAAAAGCCTTTTACTCTATCTCAATTCATTGAGATGTTGCAGCACTTTGAAATCAGTTTTGATGGGAAAATAACAATGCAAAATAGTGATTTTTGGCAATTTTGAGACGTCCCCTCGTTGCCATGGTAACAAGAAATTTACGATTGAGCATGCTGTTACAGAGGATATGGTGTAGTCAACATTTGTGCCAAGTTGCATCAATATTGAAGCATTTTTCATAGTTTCATAGCAGTTTGAACTTGTTACAGGAGGCTTTTCAATGAAAACGGCCATTTTTCGCAATATGCTCATGGGGTAAAAGGTTAGGTGTTAACACTGTTTTCTGTAAGTAATACTGTGCTTAAGAGCCCATCCCATCCCCATTTTTAATTTCAGGAAGTAAATCTTATTTTCCCCTTTCTACGACGTCTCTCTAGCTTGAATATAACTTATATAGAAAGTTTGTTCTCTGAACTTATTTCCTTCTCCACTCTAACTATTGTTATTATAATAAAAAAAAATGAGGAATTGTATTTAAAGTGATTAACCAATACCACAATAAATCTATTGACAAAGTAGATCAATTGCTCTTGTCACGACCATCTTTCCTCATATGACACCTGTTATCTTGTTAATTCCTGGAAGCGGACTTTAAATGAATTAATCATGTGAATGTAAGTTTCAAGAACTTGTTTCGAAATCGAGCTAAGAATAAATACATATTTTTATTATTATTACTGTATACTGATGAAGGATGGGCAAGAGATGTAGGACTCAGAAGACGGAAATATTAAATGTTAAATAAATCTTCATTGTTTACCTGCTGTACACAATTTCTCTCCGGTCTTATTGTGACATGTATAGTGTCCTCTGTAATCGTCTTTTGGTTGACAGAATACCGAACAATCGCCATAATACGCTAGGTCACAATATACTTTGAATGTCAGAGATAAACTGTAATAATGCAGATTAATAAAAAATATGAATCAATAAATATTATTATATAGATATATAAGTATGCAGCCATCATTTATGAATTCTAGATTTTGACAGCTATATTTCAGTATCTGAAATAATTAATCGAATTATTTTTGTTTAAATACGTACAGGTATATAATAAAAGGGTAATTATGTTGTAGCAGCGTTCTGAGGCCATGTATTATACTTGCATCGAATTAAAATTTATATTTCGCTAGTTTGCACGCTGCTCCTAGCAAAATACAAAGCATCAGAAAGGTACTACAACATTATATTCCGTATTTATCCCCAGAGACATGTACGTTTATTTTTATAATATGACATACCATGACATGTCTATTTAGCATTTCTATGTCCCTACGTGTCTGTCTAAGTAGTCTGTCACACCACGTGTCTTTTTTAGTTTTCTTTTTACCCGAGCGTAAGTTTTTGTAGTTATATGAATAGTTAAATTTGTCATAATGTGTTGTAGGTGCGTTAACAATTACATCATTGTTTTGCACATGTACACATAAATGATTTTAAAGAAATGTTATTTTAAGAACTTTATTCCACATACACGTTATGTCATAACATTAAAGATTTTACCTCGTTCGATTATTTAATGTAACATTTTTTTCTCCAGCGGTTGATCTAGACCTTGACGGTGTTTGCTCTATGAATGTCTGGTGGAAACTTATAAAGTCGTTTGTTTTCAGAAAATCAAAGTCTTCTACCCGAACCTTCAGTTTCATTGATCCCTTGTTAATAAAAAAATCGTAGCTTCGTTAACTATAAAAATGCAATTTAAATATCAACTTTTTTCAAAGAGTACTGTACCCTCAAAGAGAGTAAATATAGATCTAGTTGCTTGAAATAAAACGTTGGAATTTATTTATAACTTCTCTAATTTGCTTATATATAAGAGTTTTCTCCATCGATTCGATTCCTTCAACTGCATTCAGTACAAATTACTGAATTAATAATTAGATCTATCACCATTTTGAGGTGTGTTTTTATTTATTCGTGTGTGTTTTTTTCTATCAGTAGCCTGTATATATTTATGTATCTTTTAAACCTTTAAATATCTTACCGGCCATTTTGAGAATGAAAATACCATTGGGTTGTCAGTCCCACCGATACTACTATTGAACGTGTTGATCGTGTTGGTATCTGCAATTTCCCCTGTCTGAATAGAGCCATACTCACATGATGACGTGCTAGATGGTCTGTTACGTCAAATATGACGTAATTATGTTTCATAAAATGGCAAAAGAATGAAAAAAGTTTATTAAATAAAGTGATAATAATGTACATATGAAAGATTTTAAACAATTCACTGGGAAAATGTAGCAAGTATGAGTTAGTTGTTAATATGTGATTCAAACTTTTGAATTGTACATAGATGACTATAATCATAAAAAACAGGATGGTGGAAATTAAAAATTTTAATACATGAATTGTAGTGAAACTTACTTTAGAGGTAAAATGTTACTTAGGTAAATAAAAAACAATATATTAGCAACAGCATTATTGAGTGACATATCAAAGATTAAAAAACGTGTAGCATTACAAAAACTGGAATAGCACTATAAATAGTTTTCTAAAATTTAAAAAATAGATCTAATAGATTTAAATGTATTCTAAAAGAAATAAAAGCAATAAAAATGATTCAAATTGGATTTCATAAGAGCCCGAAATTCATAATAATGTGTATTTTTATATTCAGGGGCCAATACTCAATTTTCAATTTCTTCTAGAGATAAAGTACTATTACATACCCATTGCGGTCATCCAGGCACACTATAAATACATAATCACAAGCGCCAGCGCACAAGAAATTTAAACTAAATAACGCATCGCAACAACCATCATTATCAGCAACCTTTCCACCCGCATTTTTAAACGAGTTTAGATAAACCTCCACTGCCCCGCCACATTGTATTGTCTGCAAGCATAAAGAAACAAGAAATTACTTTAACAAAGGTACTCGTCCGGAGTCAAAATGGTTAACTTGAAAATGTTATTTCTAAGTTTTCATGTAAACTTACAGGATAGTGAACGTTATTGGTGGTCTCGTTATTTTGATCGAAATTATTAACTCAGTTAGTTATTGTATATAATAAAATTAGTAAGTTCTTATGTAAAATAAACTGTCCACAAGAAAATATAATGAGACCTTAACACAGTGTAAAATGTTTTGTGGAAAGACGTATGCAGGCTTGGTCCTACTTTTTCGTCTTTTCCTACGTTTCCTTAATCTTTTGTTGGCCTTTCTACTTTTCCCTGCTTTTGTGAAAAAAGCCCTAATTTCCCTACTTTTTTCTGAAAACATAATTCATTGTTTTAAGTAATCTTGTGTTATTTCATCTTTGTGATTATTGTGTACTTTCATCTTAATAATATTCCTAAGTTGTAGACTGTATATTTGATGTTATATAAGGAAGTGTAGACTTAGAGGGTGTTTCATGGTGGTGACATGCAGCAAGTTGTTTGAATTCTTCTGGAAAATTGCATATCAGTAAAATGTAAATTGACAACAAAAAGTTTAGTCTTCATAATTTTATTTTTGTTTTAATGAAATAGACCTTGTACATTGCAAATAGCTATGTTTCCCAATTATACTTATATTGCTAAGGGGGACACTTATCAGACCAGTATAGTATGTACATGGTAACTGACACAGAACATTGCTCTGATAATTTGCATAAAAATCTTCAACTTATAAATTTTTATACAGTGTAGCAGTGTTCTTTTCAAAATCTTCAATATAAAAAGTTTAGATAAATTATGCACAGATTTAACGTGAATATCATGGTGACATTTATAATGATAATAATTAAAGGAATTAAAAGTTTAAATCATCCTTACATTTATATTATATTAGAGAATTAGGCTAGAATCATTATCTTTCCAAACAGTGTTTTACATTTTGCTGAACAATCAAACCAAATAACTGTATTAATTGTTCTAAGCTTATTCTACACAATGTATTGGGTATGTCAAATGATAAATGTACTTTTTAAACACAAAAATGATACATATGGAAAAAATGTATTCATATTTTCAAAGGGATATACACAGTACATTGTTCTGTGCTTGATGGGCATGCTTGATATTAGCCGGGTTTCTATTGTAGTTAAATAATACTGACTAAAATGCCTCATGGACGAACAAAATATTCAATGTGAATTGGCTAACACAAAATGATGTAATTGGCCACACATAGAAATGTTGTGTAAACACAGGACGCAACATCAGAATATTCACGCTACTGGAACTTGTGTAGGAAGGCCATACAATGCTCAAGTAATGGCATACCATGCAGAAGAGGAAAAACATACACAGTTAGCAAAGGCAAGCTGAGATACATTGCAGAAACACTTCACACTTCTCAGAAACAAACAACCCTAGTACTTCACAAGGTGGTGGAGACGTAGAAAGGACATTGAAATAAACACAGTGTCACATACAGACCTTGTAAGAAGTCCTGAAATCCTTAGGGTGTTTCAGGTTGTCCATGATGGATTCACATTTAGGTATCATTATAGGTTATCTTATAGTTTTAAGGTTATGTTTCTTGGTGCCGTAAGTAAAGACTTCAGTATGAGCAGGAAACAGTCATCTTACATGCTTTCAGATGATCTGGGAATTATGAAATACCACATTCACAACTTATTTCTTGGCAATGATGGACTCAATGTGCATGAGACATTTTTTACTTATTAATGAACATGTCTAAGAGTTAGGCTTTATGGGGATTGTTAGCTTCATGGCCTGTCCCGTTCACATTGTTCACAATGCATTTAGAAAACGTCTAATTACTTATGGTGAAGAGGCAAAAGAGCTGAGTATTGATGTATTTCAATGGTTTATGTCACATCCATGCCGGAAAGAAGACTTTGCCTCCACTCTTGAAAAATTTGACATTTAATCTTAATGTGTTCATACGACATGTGCAAAGCCGTTGGCTAACTATACTACCATGCGCAGAGATTAAAGGAAAGCTGGGGAGCTTTGTATCAATACTTTCTTAAAGGTCTCCAAGTCAGAAAGATGGATCACACAAACACTTAAACATGAATCAGAGATACAAGATAATTTGTGAGGAGCTGAAATTAAAGGAGACGCTTGCACAGATTTTCTGTAAACCCTGTCACCAATTTTTGAGGAATTATTAAAACACTTTCAGACACAAAACTTCTCATTCACAACCTTTACACTGAATCACTGGCCTTGTTGAACATTACCCTGTTGAAATTCGTGAAGTTTGTTGTAGTGTAGTGTAAATTTGGACACTAATTTGAAAAAGCAGGAAGATACTGTTCCTTTAAATAATATGGACTTTGGGGCTCAAGCTACCCAAACATTATCAGAAATGGAAAGTTGTAGACAGAATATACATGCAGAAATTTTACCAGGATGTGAGCAGCTGTCTCATAAAAAAGCTTCCTCGGGAGGATAATGTTGTAAAGAATGCAAAACCTGCCCAAAAATTGATATCAAGATTGACAATGGCCTAAACCAATATCACGACTGATGACTTGACAAGAGTTTCTGATGATTGGAAAGTACATGTATACAGTGAAGAGGATGTTGAAAAATCAGTAATTTACAATGATGATGAAAGTTTGGAGAGGGTTAGTCAGTACTGGAATGACATTTAAGCTAGGAAGACAACAGTAGGATCAAGGAAATTCCTAACTTAAAAGAAAGTGGTGAAATCAGCACTGTGTATATTTTATAGTAACTCATGTATTGAATGCTGTGTCTTAGTAAACAAGATGGTATTGACTCCTCAGAGAGGACTCTTATGTCTCTCGAGGCCCTGGATTGCAATTGTATTACAAGAGATGCAGTACCTATCGATGGTGGAAATATAAACAGTGTCCCAATAATTGGAAATATGCGTCAGTTTGCACGTAATTCATTAATAAAAATATAAACAAAGACTCAAAGAAGAAAAAAGTGAAATGGAACTATTAAAGCAAAAAAGTTTGTCAAAAGCAAAGAGAGAATGATGAATGTCTGGAGAAGGTTAAGGAAAATGAGAAGCGAAAGACAAAAATTGCTGAGAAGGAAAAGGATGTTAAATAAACGGAAACAGAACTGGATGAGAACCTCTTGAATGCAAAAGTTAGGCTTAAAGATGCAACTACCAGAGTGGTGACAGGTATAATTGACAAAAATTTCACTGAAATCAGTCTGGCTCAAGTATGTAAGAAGTTGCAAAACAGAACCTAGACTTAGCTAGATCTGCTTTTGAGAACTGCAAAGTCCAAAGAGATGACATTGAAGATTGCTGAAAACCTGTCGAAACTTTAATAATTAACTTTGTCATGTAACTATGTAGTCTGAATATATATGCATATATGCAAATAGAGGTTAGTAAGACTCTTAAACCTATTACCTGTAGTGATATTTGTTTAGATTGTAATCTTTGTAATTCACCAAGCACATGTGTATATAGTCTATTTCTATATTGTCTTGATCTCCACATTGCTCATTTAAAATTATAGTGGATTGGTCTAAAATGTGTACATATTTACAAAGGTGTTTCAAATATATCTTAGATCAATAGAAATGTGCCCTTAGAATATTCTTTTGAAACATACATGTAAACTCTTCCAATTTAAGCAGAAGACTCACTCTTTCTTCTGTCATTTTTTTACATTTTTCTTAAAATAATGATTATTTTAACAGAATTAAGAAATCTCCCTATTTTTCATTTCAAAATTTCCTTCAATGTCTATTGTAAATTCTAAAATCTCACTCTTTTGAAGTTAATTAACCCATCTGAACATAGAAGGAAATTCACATGTTTGTTTTGAAATAATCCTTAAAAGCAAATACTGTTAGATTTCTAAGTGAAATACAATCCACATTTACATTGTTATATGCTATATATATGATGTCAGATCACTTATCTTACACGAATGAACAACACAGGTGATTTTTACTATTGAAAAGATAAGAAAGATAAGAAAAACCTTACTATCCATATTTTTTTCTTTTAAAACCCCTTCTTAAATTATACTTTCTTTCAAACAGAATGGCCCTAATTTTTTTCCCTACTTTTTCAACTGGGGTCATTTGACTGTATGGTTATATCTCAGCCATTTAACTAGAAAGTTAAAGAACTATCCTGTACATTTTATTTTAGAACTATCCTTTATACGAGAATGGCAAGAACTTTCCTATACATTTTATTTTAGAACTATCCTCAACATTCTATTTTTAATTAGATTCCTAGATTTCAATTTGTAATTTAAAGTCACCAATAGAAATTCACCTTATATTCAGTTCTTCTCTGTAACTCAAACTGAATTTAGATTTTAAATAAAAGGTTCTCTTAAAGAATAAAATGAAATACCAACTTTTGGTACTCAAACTCTAATATTGACCTATATAAACTTGTTTGCCATATAAAAAAGGGACGTGATTTTTCTCCTTTGTTAATATTTTGATTCATTTCTCAAATCATGAATAATATGCCATTTATTTTACATTTTATAGAGCGCTTAAAAGAGTATTTGCCATGACTCATCGCTATAAATGGTCATTTGTTAAAAAGATTGCTTTACATAATGACATGTTAGCTCTACTTAAACAACATGATTAATAAAACTGTAAAAATTATTTAAAATTAAAGGAAAACACTTAACATTTCGTCTACAATGAAATAGTTTTATGACCAGTACAGCTGATTTGCACAATCCAATAATAACATTAATAATAATAATAATAATAAAAATAATAATAATAATAATAATATTAATAATAATAATAATAATAATAATAATAATAAATAATTGCATTTTATTTAAAGGTGAAATACATAGATGATGTATAGGCTCTATTTGTTTTGGGTGAATATACATCACACTATAAGTTTGAAAATTGCAATATTTTCATGAACGTACATGTAGCTTCGATGTGAAATATTTAACATACATGGATTCAAAAAAATCTTTTTTATGGTATGTCTTATTAGAAATCTCTCAAGAAACAAAAAACAAACAAAATCAGGATTTTTCAATCGTTTTCATTTAATTATTGTTTTAACTGATGATCGATTTAATTAAGAAAATAAATGCATACTAATATACAGTACTGACTATTCTAACCTATTTGTAATGTTAATCTATGATAGAATATACGTACAGGAATGTGCAATATAACACAGGCGACCAAAGTAGTCCATAACATCATAGAAAAGCGATCCATTTTAAGTGGTGACATACATATCTAGTATATACTAGATATACTAGTAATGCTTAGGTATATCATTACTGTTCTTTATTTTCCTGGACTTAAAGGCTCATCATGTCCCAGAAATACTTTTATTTTTATTTCTTAAAAGATTTTTATTTCAATTGTCCTGTTATTGTTTCCAAAATGTCGCTTACTGGCCAAATTACCTGACCTTTCTTTTGCTTCTATTGCTTTGTTGGCAATGGGTACATATATAGTGACTTAAAATCGTTCTGTTTGGCATCAATCTGATAAAGGGTAAAATCAGGTAAACTGAAAACTTAAAATGCATTATCACGTGTTCTGAATTTATTTTTCAGAATGATATTTAACATCGATTTCATATATTTATTTCTGTTTTAGTTTTTATATGAACCGTTTCAACAACAATTAAGTTGACCTATTTATTTGTTAATAGATATTTTCCATAATTTTTCACAACAATGTCAATGTCAGGTTTGTGGTCGTAAGAGGGGATTCTTAAAAAATCAAAATCATCTTTCACGTGCCCTTTTATTGCAAACTATGAAGGAATTGTCTATGAACTTCTACTATATTTGTGTGTATGCCGATGCTCTTTTAGCCCTACGCAGATTAGGCATGCGCGAAAAATACTACTTCCGATCAATTTTCATAGCGACGGACCATGTCGTAAAAAGGTCTAAAACAAATGATTTCACATTCAGCGCTTATCTCTCTCCTGGTAATCAGCTTCGAACATGCTCTGAAACCATTATCCATTATTTAATGTGTCTGAAACATAATGTGCCTTTAAGCTAAAATATTTGAAGGACTCTTCTTGGAAATAAGGAAGTATATATCAATAAAAATAGTGTCCGATTGAGAAACAATAACCGGATGTATGACTAGAGTGTGTGAGAGAGAAAATTTGAGAATTTGAGTCATTTCATACCATTATTATATCTATATATTGGCAACTCACTCACTTTATTTATCATAATTATCAAAAGTTAATTTACGGGGAACAATTTTCGCAAGAGTAAAACAGCACATTGTCTTTATAATCAAATCAACTGAAATCTATCCTATAAGTATAGCATGTTTTGTGTCAAATAATGTACGTTATACATGTGTATAAATGTAAAAGAAGTATGAACTATTTAAATCTAGATTCATGAATGTCATGTTAATGTAAATAATTAGCTACATATATATATTTTTTTATTGATGCAATATTGATATTGTCTATACACAGACAGACAGACAGACATACAGATAAGTCAAAAAAAAATCTTAAATTATAATATGTCATATTACAGTTAAACTGTCATGTGGATTTGTTGTCGAAGTGCATAAACTTTCGTTATGTGTATCTTTATCATTCATTTATTGTTATTGCTGCTGCTGCTTCTGGTAATCTTGTTGTTTTTTTCTTCTCATTCTTCATCTTTGTTATTTCTTGTTATTATAATGAAGATGGTGGTGTATTGATATAAATACTATGATTATAATAAAAATTACTATAATAGTTATTACATTTTTAATAGCATTATTTTTCTTATTTCCAATGTGGTTGTTGTTTTCAAGGTCAAGAAGATAATATCAAAAAGGGGGTCATAAAGCCCATATAGCTATGCTGGTTAAGTAAAGTCATTGAAATATATCACAGGAACTTGAAATGCTATCAAATAACCAATATTAACCTATAGCTCTTCAGCGCTTCTTATGTAAAATTCTTCCAAGTATAATTTCCAATAACCGTAAATTATACCATACCCAGACTATGGTATAATTTTCAGTTTTGAAGAATCAAATTTTTTAATTTTTTTTCTGGGGCGGGCTTTGGGTTTTTTTTTTCTTCCACCTTTGGGTTTTTTTGCTTTTTTAAAAAGATTTGGGTTTTGAAAAAATTATAAAAAAAATTCAAGTGAAATTTTTTTCTTAATTTTTTCCTTTTGGTTTTTGGGTTGTTGGGTTTTTGTTTTCTTTTGCAAAAGAAAGGGGAACTTGTTAAAAGGGGTTTAAAAATTTAAACGGAAAACCCAAAAAAACTCACGGAAAAAAATGTTATAATTCCAATTATTAACAATTATTTTCCAAAAAAGGTTACCCCCAATATAGTATAAATTTAATTTTTATATTATTAAAAAGGGGTGAAATTTTGGATATTATCATTGATTTTGAATTTTTGGATAGATTTTCAAGTTTTGTAATAAAAGGGAAATGAATTTTTTAAAAAACCCCTTTGGAATTAAAACATTTCCGGGTATTTAAGTGTATGTAATTAAAATCCCTATAGAAGTTTTTCGACCCCCCCGGGGAAAAAATTCCCCTTTTTGGTAGTTTAGCGCGGAGGAAGGTATTTTAGTACTGGTGTAACCCCCAGGAACAGGGGTTAGTAAACTACCCGCCTAAATGACTAAAATACTTTTGGGAAAAAAGGCGTAAAAATAAAACAAAAAAAAAAAACAAAAATGGGCTTTCTCCCTTGTGCTAGTAAATCTCACTTTTTTTTTAAGTAATTTCGTAAAATTTTAAAAATAGATAATGAAAAAAAAAAATTTAATGCGGGCTTAAATTTCAAAGATATTTTTTCAGGAAACTAATTTTCAAAAACATATTAGTATAATTTTTTGTTCATTTTATTACTTTTGATTGTACTTTTAAAAATAGTTTTCAGAAAAAATTTTTAAATTTTAAAACTTGGGTTTTTTTCTTTCCTTTTTTTTGGTACGAGGGCTTCCAAGTTTTTAAAAAGGGGGAAATATAATTTATTTACCCCAATTTTGAATATTTTTTTGGGAAAATACAATTTTAAAACCACTTTCCGCAATTTTAAAACCCAAATTTTTCCGGCAATTTGAAAAATTTCCGCATTTTTTAAAAAAATTTTCCCGAAATAAAAAAACCCATTTGGGGAAAAAAAAATTAATTAAAAATATTTTATGGGAAAAACTTTTTTGTTGTTTTTTGTTTTTTTTTTTTTTTTTTTGGGGGGGGGGGGTTTTTTGGGGTGTTTTTTTTTTTTTTTTTTTAAATTTGAAATTTTTTCAAAACATTTCCCCATCATACCCCCGGAAAAAGATTGTTTAGGGGTTTATCGAGCGGGAAATTTTTTAAAATGTGCTTTGTTTCCGATCTATTTTTTAAAGGTTATTTTTAAAAGGGGATGAAAATTTTCGATACTCAACCAGTAAACGTTTGGATTTTTTTTTAAATGTTTTAATGGGGATCCCTTATATGGGGTTTTTTTCCAAAGCCAAACAGGTTTTTTCCCTCTACTTAAAAATGAAAAATTTTTCCTTAAAACAGGGAGCCATGTTTCCAATTAGAAAAAAAATTCTAAAACGCAATTTTAAAATTTTTTAAGTAGAAAAATTAAATGCTAAAGAGAAAAACCCCAAAATTTAAAAAATCATTTGTAATTTATAACCAAAAAAAAAAAAACTTGAAAAATTTTAAAACATAAGTAGCCGAAATTATCAAAACATTTTTATATGTTTAAACAGCAAAAATCCCAATATTTTAAAAATTTTAAAAAAGTCAGGGACTTAAAAAGAAAAGCTGTTCTAACCCCAAAATTTCATTTTAAACCAAAAAAGTTTTCTAATAAAAAGAACATGTTTAAAAGTTATGTAACCCTTTGTTTCAATAAAATTGACTGGTTTAAAAAAACAAAAAGTTTTTTGGGTTTTTTTACTAAAAAATTTTCTTTCCGAAAAACCAATTTCTTTCACTAAACAATTCTTTCATTTAAACAAGTTTTTCCCCCAACAAAAAATCTTTCGTTAAAGTTTGTCTTTACAAAGGGTTTTTTTGGAAAAAATTGGCATTTTTTACTTTGCAAACCGGGCCCTTGTTGAAAATGTCAATACTCCGAGCAAAATTTTGGCTTTGATTGGGGGGTTTTATTCTGAAATAAAAAAAAACTAAAGGGTTTAGTTTTTGGGTTAAATTTTTTTTAAAAATTTGGGGTGAAAAGGAGGTTTTTTTCAGCGATGTTTCTTCCAAAATTTGTCCGGGGGTGAAGGGAGGCCGTTTTAAAGATAAATTATGACGATACCCCCAAAAAAGCATGACGCCCCACCCGCGTTGAGGGGTTCTTTTTTTATTAAAACATAGGCAAATAAAAAGAAAAATTTAAGGAAAAAGAACATCTGGGTTTTGACTGGTGAAAAATTATGATTCATTTCTTAAAAAAAAACACAAATTTTTTCTTAAAAAAACATAAATAAAATTTACTTTATCGCTAAATAAATTTAAGAAAAAATTTTCATTTTCCCCCCCTTTTTAAACCCCGGGATTTTACTTGACCTTTTTTGTAATTTTGAAATAAAAACCAGACTTTTTAAAGGGGCAATAAGGCCGTGATTTTAATGATCAAAAATTTCCAAAAGTCATAAAAGGGCCAAGAAATAAAAAGGAAAAAAAAAATTTAAAAATAAAAGGAAATTAAGTTTTAAAAAAATTTTAAAAAAAATTTTTAAAAAAAGTGGGAAAAAACGGGAAATTCAAAATTATGGATTTTTAATTTCCCTCAATTTTTTCCCCTATTTCCAAAAATTTTTTAAAAAATAAAAAAGATATACATTTTTGAAATTTCCCCCTTTTCAATGTTCTTTTTTATTTTGTGCCAAACCCAAAATATACTACTGCGTAAAAAATTTGTCCAGATTTAATTTTTGATTGATTAATCAAAGCAAAGGAACATTTTTTCCCATAATTTAAAAATTTCCCTTTTGTTCTTTTAAAAGAAGAAAGAAAAATATCCCAAAAACCAAAAATTTGGGTAGATGCACCCCCCCCATACAAAAAATAAAAAGGGCGTATTTAAAAAGTATTTCCTTATTTTTTAAACCATTGGCCGCCCCCGGGGGCAAAAAAAAGGGGGTGCTGGAAAAACGATTTAAAGTCTTTAATGGTTGGGAAATTTTTCAAATTATTTGTTGAAATAAAAGCCAATTTAAACCTTTGGAAGATAAATGGACCAAAACAATGGTAAATTGTGGGGCCCCAACAGGGAAGGGGAAATTTTTTAAAATCCCTTTAATAGTTTAAAAAATAAAACCTTTTTTTACCGAGGAAAACTGGGGTTTTCCCCCCGCAGTTTAAAAAAATTAAAATCAGGGGGATACTTTTGGGTTTGGGGGGATTTTCGTCCCCAATTGGTTGGTAGATTTTAAAAAAAGGGGCATGCCCCTTTTCCCGGGGTTTAAACCCTCGATCGACATGCCGGTTTTCCCAAACCCAAATTTAAAAAACAAAAGCTTGATTTCCCTTTCGTTTCGCCCGAAAAAAGGGAAAGACCCAGCCCAAAAATTTATACAAATGAAAATATTATTAAAAAAAAAAAAGAAAAAAAAAGAAAAGGGCAAAAAAATTTTGAATTCCCTTGGGTTTTTTAAAACGAAAATTAATTAAGTTAAAATTTTTTATTTTTTCCCTTTTTTTTGCAAAAAAACCAACTGCATTTTTTTT